GATTTAATTTGATTTATGACGACTCACCAAATAAGATATAGCTATCTGCCCATGGCAATAATGAAAATTTCAGGTTGGTCGAGTGGTCTGCGAAACAGAATACTAAGAGATAAAAATTAATTGGGTCGTGGAAGAAAATGTCCTCTGGACCTCTCGCAGAGTGCTGGGAGATAAAAATTAATTAGGTCAAGCTCTGACCGAAACAAAAATGTCCGTTGGACCACCCCCATATCATTTGGAAAAAACACCTGTTTTATGTCGAAGCTGGCCACAATCGGAAAATTATTTTATCAGAACGAATAATTAGCGCCAGAATGTGAAATCGCCAGATGACCACCCACTTGATAATCGGCGAAGGTCCTGAGTGATGAATCCCAGGTGACATTCAGGATAAAATTGAGATTAAGAGACCACACTATGGGTCGTATTGGGCTGTTGTCGGGCAGAAGAAAGAAAGAAAAAAAAAAAAAAAGGAAGATAATTTGTTTTTTTCCTTTGAGCAAGATTTTTTTTAAACCGAGGCCAGTCTGGCCACACCCACACTGCTGGGCGGCGACTGGCTGAATGGTGGCGTGAGCGGCAGGTGAAGGTAATCATGTGAAGAAGGAGGGGAGGCCTGTTAATGCCCCCCTGAAGGGATCGGTGTGAGATGCCACTGTGAGAGAGAGGGGAAACCCGTTGACACCCTCTGAGGGTATGGGTGAGATACCAAAATGAGAAAGCAAGAATTGGGGAGGATGAAAGACTTCCAAAAATGGAAATAATAATTCTTCCTGACCAAAAACAAAGAAAAACCTTTAATACGGATTTAGAATTATCAAGGAACCTCAAACCCTGACAGGCCCACCCCGGTTCTGGTCGGCATCCATATAAGCAGTCGCAACGAGTAAGAAGGCAGTTCGCAATTGAGGTTGAAGAGACAAGCAGTTGCTGAGAGCTCTGAGGGCCCGCCTTGCAGAAAGCTGACTAAGATTCGTGCATTCTTGACCTCAACTTCTAACCAAGAACAATTTATTTTTGAAGAACGACTTAGACTCACACCACCAAAACAAGTTTAACGAATATCGCCTGAAGATACACCAAGAACCAGTTTTTTGAAAAACTTAAGATGTTAATACTCGCCTAACAAACGCAAAGTGTCCCGTATCCATACAAGCGGGTTGGGAGAAAGACACAGTCCTGTATTCAGCAACCAGATATAAAATATTGTTATTCTTTTTTAACACATTTGAACTTTTCGAGTTATTACTTTATTTTCTTTTACATATACTTATGCAGTGTTACCCTTGTCCGGACTCAGCTTGCATTACGGCCCGGCGACTGATTGATTTTGTCTACCTAAGATCAAATCACAACGTGGGTAGGTTAGACTAGAGATCAAAGCAGTTACTTCGGTAACTAAACGTTGGAGGCGAGCTGGGAACGACAAGGCTGATACCGAATCTAACCAGATTCCCATCTGAATCAGCAAAAGGTTAGAACGTCACATTTGATGCCACGACCAATACCAAGTCACATTGGTCGTCAGGACAGGATAGGACGGCGACGGCGCGGAGACAGACGGGGTGATGTCACAATTGGCGCCGCGACCAGGACAGCACGGCGGGCACGACAGGCAGACGTCACATTTGGTGCAGCGACACCGGGGGACGTCACAGGAACAAAATTTTAGTCCATCACAAAGAAGGGAATGGTCATCATCTATACAAAGATCATTAAAAGAAGATAATGGAAAAACAAACCCTATACCGTCAAACACAAACAAAAACGACTATACATCTACAAAACTATTAAACTCAAAAAATCCAAACAAAAAAAAAAATCCGAGAAATAGAAACATCAAAACATTATCAAGAGAATGAAAAGATACAAAAAAAAAAAAATAATGAAACAGTTATTGAAGAACCAAGGAAAATGGACATAGAGGAAGAAAACTCTAGCCCATCACAAACAAGGGAAAAATCATCATCTAGACAAAGTTCATTAAAAGAACGGAATGGTAAAACTAAGGGAGCAAAATCAAACAAAGTAGAAACAAAAGAAGTTCAAAGAACAAAACATAGCAAGAAACAAAACACTAATAGTCTGAAGAATATAGAAATGGATACTTCACCCATATAAAAAACAAAATAAAAATGGACATGTAAAAATTCATAATTTGTAATACATAATCAAAATGCAAAACCTTATTCAATGGAATTGTAACTGGGCTCAAAACACTATGAAAGTGTAAAAATAGGTTTTAATACCAGAAATACTTTGTAAAAAAAATTATTACCAGCAATACATATTTGAAAAAAAAAAAAAGATATATATATTACCAGCATACATATTTGAAAGAAAATTATTACCAGGAATAGATTTAAAAATAAAATATTACCAACAATAAAATGTCGGCATTGAGGTTGATATGCCATAAAATCAAAACAAACTATTTTCAGACAATTTTTCTCATCTTTGTCGCCATATTTATTACAACGTTTCAGCTGTTGTACACTCTGACCTGCCTTTTTCAGGTTGTTGGAATGTTGAACTGAACCCTTTATTTCGCTCACTGGGTGAGACTGTTCTAGTTCCATGTGGGATGTCAGTTATCTCCTGTTAATTCCCCTCTCCAAGTTCTCCACTGCCTTAACCAGGTATTGAACTCACACTCTTTGGGTCCTGTCACTGGATCTAACTAACACCTCTATCCACTGTGCTGTGTGTCGTGTATGAATTTCTGGGTATTATAAACCTAATGTCTTCAGCAACCATTTTTACCAGTGCTCATATTGCAATTTTTGCTGTTATCATACATGTTTTTACCAGAGCTCATATTGCAATTTTTATTGTTATTATCGCTTTTCTCTGGCAATCCTTATTACTGGTTCCCATATTGTATTCATTTCTATGCTTGGTCAGCTCAGGAGATTTTTGTGGCCTAGCATATGTGCTGATTCCTTAAGTTTACGTATTTTGCAATGATGTTTTTTGTCCATGATTTCAACCTGATCCCACAGAGGGTGGTGATCTCCCTTTTCTCTCCATATGTGGTCAGCCATGCCTGATTTTTTTTTTTTTTTTTTTTTTTTTTTTTCCACTTCCTCTCATGTTACAGCTTTCTGGTGTTCTTGAAGCCTCTGTCGGGGGGGGCTTGGGAGAGATATCTGCAAAGCGTCCTCCAGCTTTTGACGGTTGTCCTGATGTTATATGGACTGCAGATCCTTTGTATTTTCTCTGATAACCCCTTCACATAAGGCAGGCAGACTGTTTTCTGAGTATTGTTGTCCTCCTCTTGTACCTGCCTATCCCAGTTTTTTGGGGATGCTGCCATGTACCCAGGATAGTTGTTATGACTGACCAATTCATTATCTAATGCCTCTGGGCTGCCACTTATGATGTTTGCTGGGTGTTGTAAGCAGCAGATGATCCATTTCTTTACACTGTATGGATTGTGGGAGTTGAAATTGATGTACTGTCTGGTGAATGTCAGTTTACAGTACGGATGTCTTGAACCCATGCTCTGTTCTAACAATTGGCCTGAGCGGAATACTGTCTTTGTGAATCTTAGAGAGACCATATATATGACGTAGCTTGGTGTAATGCTGCGATAACTGCCTATATGTCTTAAGTGTGAAGTGATCCTTGTTCTTGATTAGTATCTGTAACAGTTTGCATTCTGTTTTCATTGTAGGATTCTTTTTTACTTTGCTGTAACTACCATTGCTAATGAGGTCTTCCATCTTTCTTGTATAATCTGATTTGTCCATCACTACAGTTGCATTGCCTTTGTTAGTTGCCAAGGCTCTGTGTGCCACCCACTGAGTCGCTTCCTTGTAGATATAATTGACCCCTTGATCGGAAAGTCTCCTTCATATGTCCGCAACTCCGCCCACTTTGCTCCAGCCTATCCAACCAGATGGTGAGCTTGGACGTGGTGAGTTTGTTCACCAAGTTACCCACAGAGGAGGCACTCTCAGTAGTCAGAGACAGATTGGTCTCTGATTCATCCCTAGAAGAACAGACTAGTATTCCAATAGATAATCTTGGTTCAAATAATATTTAAAAAAAAATAAAATATAGCTGTGCCATAAAAAATGCAAGAATTCTATATACAAAAAGTGATTCCAAAAAGTAAATGAACAATAATCCATGGTAAGAGTACTAAGTATGATTGAGTAATAATGGAATGGTTTTTGCAATATCAAAGATAATGGATTTGTCAGGTAGGAGTAGATATTCTATTTCCATCCATTGTGAAGGAAACTTTCAAAGGTTTAAGAAGCATCATATAATTATATATGGAGAAACACAATGAAAAATCATCTTAATGTATTTGCAAGGCTTGTGTCACGGATGTGTACCTCCAGTAAATAAATAAAACCATATCAGCATACACTGGAAAAATATGACAAATTCCAAACACTAAGTACAGCTATCATCTTGGAATGTTCTAAAAGCATAGGTGTAAAATCACTGGTGATAAGTCTGTTCTCAGGTTTTGAAAGGTAACCAAATTTAACTAATCACCTTTTTTAAATCGGAGATAAAAGTAACTTTAAAAATAATGTGCTTGTCTTAAATGTTTTACTTTTGTTTGATCAGCAAACAAGAAATTGATATTGTTATGTTTTTATTCACATAATTCATTGAAACTGGCTATTGTTGTTGCTTAAAAATAAAATTGAATAATACAGGACCCAAAACACTGTTGAAAAAAAAAAATGATTTTTGATTTGATTTCTTTAAATTTCATTTAATTCAACTTAATATTTGTCGAGAGCGGCAGGATGATATATTTCCATGTAGGAAGAATTTTTATTTTAACTTTAAGTAAAAAAAAAACAAAAGACTTTTTTTTTTTTTTTTTTTTTTTTTTTTATAATTTTCCTCTTTTCAGAAAATTACGATAACTTGAACTATGAAATTAAATTTTAAAATTCAGAATGCTTAAACATCGAATATTTTGTCAGGCCCTCATTATTGTTGATATAACAGATTTCTTTTTTAATTTCCAGAAAAAGATAAATAGGACAGAAGTCGTGTAACATCGCCGCACGCCATTAAATGTGAGATGATTCGTTTAATGTTCATCGTGAAAAATTGGTCAAAACCTAATAACGGTTACCGTTGAATACTACATCCTGAACAGAAGGGATCTTGGCTTTTTTTTCACCATGGTAGCGGTTCTTTGTATGAAAGTTCATCGCTGAAAACTTTAGGTAATATTTTGAATACAAGCTATTTTATTGTTGCCTGTGTAAAATTTGTTTATTTCTTTCTCTACCTGCGTAAAAACTATCTACTAAAATTACAAAGGAATCAGTAAAAAAAAAGATTTATTTATTATATTACACCAGAAGGAAAATGGCTAACGACGAGCAACCACAATCTCTCCCCACTACATTTATTTATTTTTTTTTTTTTTTTAAGAATTGTTATCTTTTTTATTTGCCAATAGTAACTAGAAATAATTTTTTAAAATCCTTTTTTATTGGATTCATTATCGTACTAGATTTGAAACTCTGCTTACATTATTTTCTCCTCACTTTTTCTTTTTAGTTCAATAAACTTTTGACATTTTCCAGTAGCTATGTACGGAAAGGAGTGGGTCACAAATTGAAAGCGAAATGTAGAAGGAAAAAAAAATAATTGAATTGTGTTGGTGTCTTGATGAAGCTTGCATGGTGGTGGTGTTTGTGTTGTTTGTTTGTTTTTTGTTTTTTCTTCACTGGTTGATTTAAATGAATTTTTAATGCAAAAAAAAAAAACATGATCCGTTTCTTTGCTAATCTTAAATAGTCAACATTGATAATTAATTGTGGGCGATAAAAAGCTGCAGGTCTGTTTTCTTTTCCAGTGTGGGGAGATCAACAGTAACCATTTCAGTTTTACCATTCATGGATGAAAATCTTTTTGTGTAGAGAGACGATGCTGTGGCGCTTATTTTTTCCATGGCGGGCCTTCCCATTGCCCCGGTCATTTTTTTTTTTTTTTTTTTTTTTTAAACTAAATAATATTTTTTTTAAACTAAATAATATTTTTTTGTTTTCATTTTCTTCCACCTACCCTATCTTTAATGCAAAAAATATTTTATTTTTGTCCTTTTTTTTTTTTTATCTAATATTTAACTTTAAAAAAAATTTTCAGTTCGAGCCATGTATTGTTTAAAAAAGTGGTTTCTTGAATAAAACTAAACACTTTTAGTTTCAGTAAAGTTCCCTTTTTCTGGAATTCAAGAGCTAACTTAATTTTCAATTCAGATATTTACTTTTTTCTTCATCAAAACACTTATGCAGGTCGTTAAGGTACCTCCACTAATTCAGTATAAATTTTCGATAACTAAGGTTTAAAATGAATTTTTCCTGGCATTCTTAAAGATTTCATTTTTTTTTATTATTAATTGAAAGCTAAATGGTTAAATTTATTAATTCCAGTAAGTAAAATATTCTGGTGTATTTCAAATATAAATTATATAAACCGGAATTTCAACTTTTTGGTCGATTTCAGAAAATTGTCTTAAAAGCGGCCATTTTCTTAAGTTTAAAAAATTTGTAAACAAAAACAAAAATATTGGTTTTAAAAATCTTCCAAAAATAAAATATATATTTGTGAAACATATTGGAGTAAAATTAGCAAACTTAAAGTTAAATTAATCTGATTTGAAATAAACATTACTTATAGCATAAAAATATAATATACAAGCATTTCTTAGATCTTTATTGACGTATCGATAAGTTCCGAGATGATGACAGCAAGTATGGATGACCAGAATTGACATAAATTTATGAAATCTAAGTGAACGCATTTTTTTTGTTTTTAACTACCTGTTAATTTTTACAAATGAACATATTTTCAGCAATTATCTAATATTTTATTGACTTTTAGTTACGTTTGAAGAGGCTTTATAAAAAAAAAAGGTACTTTAAAATTTTCTTAAATTAATTTTAAAATTTAATAACGGATGAAATTAAAATACAGATAAGCAAGCAAGAAAATTAACACATTGATCTGGAAATTTTTTTATAATTTAAAATATTGTTTAATCATTAATAGTTAATAAACTTTAACCTTAGCTAAAAAAACATTTTTCTATTTTCTTCAATCCAAGCATGTGACCTTTTCATAATAACGCCATGTTTAGGCTATCATAAATGAAAAAAGGGAACAAAGTAAAAAAAAATATTTTAAAAATAGAATAGCTAAATGACGTTTATTAATCTTTTCAATTTTGGATTCGTAAATTTCATTTCCACATAATTACAATATCACATACAGGTAGGGGAACAAATTTTCTGTGATTACGGAATCGCAGACAGAATCGTGGAATCATTAATCTTAAACGAAATCTGGGTTTTTAATGTAATTTTCAATAAGTCAATTGTTTTATTTTTTTTTTCTTTCAAAACCTAACTGCCTCTCCAATTTTGTTAAGTATTTTAATAAATATAATGTAGTTATTTCCTTACAATTTGTAACATAATGTAGTTATTTCCTTACAATTTGTTTTTACAAATATTTGTAGTTATTTTCCTTATAAAACCCCAAAAATAATTAAGAGCAAAAATGTTTACATAAAAAAAAGAAAAGTGGGTCGTCGATTTTCTGAGAATATGTTGGCTAATCTATTTTTAAATATTTTAAAACTTTTCTAAGGAACTGTATGTAGCAAACGAGGTGAAAGTCAGAAGGTCATGACTTTGTGGCCACTGAGATCCATTGTTAAAATGAAAGACAGACATCAGTTGCTGTCAAAAGAGGGGGGGGGGCAAGAGAGATGAAGATCAAACCAATAAGTTTAACAAGTTCATTTCCTTTAAGGCCTCGTACAATTTACAAGTAAAAAATTCTAAACAACTTGTTTTATGAATATGAAAGAAAAATAAATGCTATCACATGCCTACCATCCATTTTAGAAATAAAGAATAAAAAAATTCTCCAAAAACGACACAGCGATTCTCCTAGATTAATAATTGCATCATCTTCAGTGCTTCACTAATTCTTTTAATAATATTAACTATCAATGATTATTTTTTCATATTTTATTTATATTTTTAATCTAAACCATAAATGTGATTGAATAAGCAACAAATTGCCAAGATAACTGAATAAAGTCAATATAGTGAATCACCCTCTGAAGTTGGGTCTGCTCCTAAAAATAAAATAAGAAAAGGGCTCCAGTATCTAAAATTTGTGCTAAAGGCAGAGTAGAGCAATTTCCTGATAGCTTTTATGCAGAAGAAAATGTTATTTTTCAAATTCTGTCTCCATAGTGTTGACATTTTTAGGTTGACACAATCAAATATCACATTCAAATCAAAAACTTGTTTGACAAAAAAGTCTTTTAAAAAAGTTGGCTCAACTGAAACAGAAGACAATCACAACTTTGAAGAATAAAGAGATACGAGATGATTTTGATTTTTTTTTTTAAATGTGCACTTTGTCCGACATTCCCCCTACACAAAATTAACAAAATGAGGTCATTCATATTAAAAACATTGTAAAGAAAATGGTGCTATTCCAAGTGTCAATTGTGTTAGACAACTTCATCTACCAAAATTGTTTGCTTGTCACTTTGCTGCCCTAAAAGCCAAGCTTGCTAATCAGTCAGCATCATAACTGATGAAATAACTATCATGACTGCAGCATTTTGAATGTAATTACAAGCATCCATGGGGAGTCATTTCTTGCTGAAGTTATAACCTTGGGAGAATGCAATCCTCAAACTGTAAGTCAGGCATGAATCTGAGCAGTAACTCTTGTGGATATTGCATTTGAAGAGCCTGTTGCAGAAAAGGCTCATAAGGAAGTATTGTCAAATGTCTTTGTTAACAGTTGCCATGTGTTTGTGCTTGGCACATATTTTAAATCTTGTTGAAGTATTTTCACACTGGTCAGCATTTGATAATGTTACCCAGCTTTCATCAAGTTTGCCTTTTTTTTCTTTTTTTTTTTTTTTTTAAACCTAGTTAGAAAAAGCGATACTTAAAATGGCTTGAAGGTTCCTTGCCTAAGGAACAAGTGAAACTACCCCTTGTACCAGTGGCAACCAGCTGGAATTCCCGGTTTAATGTGGTCAAATATCACTCATCCATTGTACAGTTTTATGAAGGATTCTTTAAGCAAGAAAAGAGCCATGGCCTTGCAGTAGATAGGGTTCAATTTGAATGTGTTCTTAAAGAGGGAAGCTCTGATTAAGTTCTACCTCAATGATAATTATGCACTGTAACATTCTATTGTTTTACTATCTAGTCATGCTACATTTTTTATATATCATTTATTTTTGGACTTGGATTTTAACATTTAAAAAAAGATTTGTAGATATTTGCTATTTCTTTATATGCAATAAAACTTTGAATTATGTTTTTGTTTTCAGTTTTAATAATAATTATAGCATATTGTATTGCAATTTTCTCATAAAATACTATATAATGAAAAAAAACGGAGCTTACCAAAAGTGGAAACAGAATCAAGGAAAATTTGAAATGGAAAATTGGGGACCATATACAGAACATAAAGTAATACAGAATTTTAAAGGATTTTTAAAATATTATAAATTATTATAATTAAAATTTTTAAAAAATGAAAAAATTCTTGTAAAAATTCATTATTCATTGAAAAGATTTTATTACTTCAGACAATAGTGTCCTTAATATAACTTATTTACAAAAGCAATTAAAAGCTTTTCTAATTAAATAATGTCATCGTTTGATTACATTTTTTAGTTTACTATTCAGAGCAGATTTTCAGTTAGAATAGCCAAAGTTTGAAAAAACAAATTGTATGATTTGCATTCTCCAAGAAGTCCTACTTTTAACTAATAAAAAAAATTCTGGAAATAAAAAAATTTAGGGTAACATATATTAAAAAATTATTTTATTTTTTTTTTTTTTTTTTTAATCAAGATTTTCTGAAGAAAAAAAAAAAATTCCAGAAATAATTTCATTCATTTGTGACTAAGTGAAAGTTTCATTAAAATCCTATAATTTGATTTTTGCAAGAATTTCCAAATCAATGTATTTTCACCAGGAAAAAAAGTGCAAAAACAGTAATTGTAATTATGTCCACTGCTGACGTAAAGAAAACAAGATTTTTAACCAAAATTTCAAAAAAATATTTTGTTCTTTCCTCTTAATAATAACATTTTGACAATAAAACTTTGTTTTTATTGAGTTTTTGGGGTCTTTTTTTCATCATGCTATGCTGTTTTTCCATGAAAAAG